CACTGTGTGTGTGTATATGAATAAAATAATATACAGTATATCTATTTTGAGTCACCGGCTGGTTCTTTAGGTAAACAATCATGTGGCGTTCACATATTTTGCTTGTAATTTTTAATTTAGGGACTCATACACTGTCAATATGTGAATAAAACTGTCCAGATTTAGTTCCTTACTTGTTTTTTTTTTAATGCCTCCATTAGCTTTAGGTAAACGATAGAATATCAGTCTCATTGAAAGAAGACAACAGTTTGTAAACAGGAAGTGACAGAATCTTAAATAACTCAGAATTGATGCGCCTAATAAAAACCAAGGTTCACAAAATTAAATTTTATTGCATTATTGTTCTCGGTCCAACACTTTGTACAGAATTATATCTTGTTCCTATTAACAGCAACACGTCCAGTATTGATCTGGAGCGGTTCAAGTTGAGTTCAGGTAAACAAGCAGCTCATCAGGTGCCGTGTCAAATCTGGGGCAAACTTAAATAACTCGGGCAGCGCTGCAAGATGAGTATGCATTTAATAATAGCTGTAATAATAAAAAATACACAAACCACAACAATAAAAAAAAATATTATTCCGGCCCAGTTTTATTCAAGTATATTTTTGTGCTAATGCAATAATTGCGTAAACTAAAATCACAAAAGGACTCATCCTTGTTTATCTGGGTGGTGACCCTCACTCATTCTTCTGCGAATGACTCATAACTGTTTTATCGGAAATCAGCATTATACGACGAAGGAAAAAAAAAACAACAACTAGTTTTAAAAGAAATGGAGAAAACCTGTTGATCCTCAAGCATGAAATCCAAATCAGTGTTTTGTTTTAAAATTCAAGCAAAAATCCATTTAATTCTGTTCGCTTAAAGCAGTTCTCATGATGAAGGCCAGGTGGTTTATCTTCTCAGATAGTTTACACCCCCACATGATGCGAGTTTAAGAGGCAAACACATGAAAAGGTAAGTACTGACACCATGAATAATGCATGTTTGCCAGAGCATCTGAAAAAAATAAAATTGTAGATATCAGATTCCCATGATGCTTAATAACTCCAGGATAACTGCCAGCAAGAACAAAGGGAAGATGCAGAAAAGCCACATTTGATATTCACAAACAAAGCCTAACAACACGGAGACTACAAACAATGGTTACCATCCCCTGATGGATGGATCTTTCCTCAATGTATATAGTCATATTTGATCACTTCTTATTCTTAAATTAAAAGGGTGAAAGAAAGCTAATAAATTATAGCGGCATAGTTAAACTGAGGAGTCCCAGACCAGGGAGATGGTGGCGTTTTGCCAAGAAAGCAACACTTTCATGCCAGTACACTTAAATCTCATTAAAACGGCTTGAAAAGATTCTCTCACTAAAAACCACATTTCAGGCCAATTAAACTGATTTGTGATTTAAACATTGAACTTAAAAAGAGGAAACATTAACATGATTTTTCATCAGATTCCATGTGTGCTGCCAAAATATTCCAAAATGAATCAATATTCACCACATATAGGCAGGCAATATGAAGGGCGTCATTTAAAAAAAATGATCACTAACATGTTTTTTATTCCATTTATCACTCAACAAGAGAAGACAGTTGTGCGAGAACTAGAACATTTTGGAAAGAAATTAAAAAGCTTCCAAAGCAGCAACTGTTTAAATTTTCAACATATATTTTGTGATAATCTGAACTAAGAAAAAAAAAAATCTACATTTAAGAACTGCATAAGACATATAAAGAGATCAAAGATAATTTTTTTTTTAAAAAGCTGTGTGACAAAAACACCCAAAACTTTAAACAATAAAAATGTTGCTTCTATAGTTAAATCCACAAAAAATAAACTAATTTGTTACAGTTAAGCCAAAAATATACCATAATTTACGGCCTATAAGCCGCTACTTAAAAAAATACTTTATTTATGAGATTTTCCAAGTAAATTTATATAAAAAACACAAAGAAAAAACAAACAACTACTATTTATTTCACAGGCTTTGAACCCCACGACTTGTACAATGCTGCGGTTCATTATGGATATATTTTTTTGATGGGCTAATGAGCTTATTGACGCCAAAAACATTTAGCTTCGTCACACCCCGGCGCTCATATAGCTGCCCAATACACGACTCTCTTGGAGGGTGGGTCCTCGTGACTTAATGAGACTACCTGTATAAATAAGGTTTTAAAAAAAAACTGACCAATGAAATTACTGAGCAGCTTACAGTCGAACCAATGAAACAGGGAGTGAGGAGAGAACAGGGAGGGGGGAATACCCCCCATGCATGTGCAGAGCAACTTCCTCCGCGGAGCACAAGCTTGAAGCAGGAGGAATATGATGATAGTGATCAATGACTTCCTGGTAGGTTTAGGGCTGGACAATAATTCAGTATCGATATATCACAATATAATTTTATTCAATAACGATGATATGAGTTTTAAGCACATTTTCAATATTTTGATATACATTACGCTATGATTACAGCGTTTCACAGACATTTCTTTTTCTGTTCGCGTTGAAGCGGCTGCTTCAGTTTCAACTTGAACAGAAAAATCCGCAACACAACTATGTAAGTGCGTGATGATGCACAGCACAGCTCAAAGGAGTCAGCGTTAGCAGGCTAGGCTAGGCTAGGCTAAGCTCCAACGCACGGTAGGCTTTCGCTGCAAAATGAGTTCCCGTGACCGTCAGGACGCAACTGAACAAGCTTTCACAAGCGAAGAGAAAGCAGATGACATAACTGATAGTAGCCGAACCACTTTCACATCGCCAAATTAGTCTTTCCTCTCCTAAGTGCGCTGCAAAATGTGCCGGAGAGTCGTTCCAACTAGCGGTGAGAACACATCTAACTCGTTTCACGACAGAATTTGCTGAGTCTGAAGATGAAGCACAATAAAAATCTGAGCCAACGTGTCCCTGAAACAACAACCCAGCTGTATCAAAAGAGAAAGCTAACATGGGTTATGTTGTTGTTTAAAGTTAAAACTATAAATATTGACAAAGTTGACAGTTTTATGTTTATTTGACGGTGATGTCAAATTTCTTTGAAGGCTAAATACAAATAAAAGGTGAACATTAATTTATTTGTACAGTTTGTACAGTTTTTCTGAGGCTTTTATATTGTTTATATTGATATCGCAATTATATCGTTATTGAACGAAATTAAGAAACATATTGCGATAAAAGTTTTGGCCATATTGTCCAACCCAAGGTAGGCTACTGTATTTTTTATTTTTTTTCCCGGACAATGAAGGAGAGATTGAGGACGTGTGTGTAGAAGTTTTTCTGAGGCTGTTCAATTCTGACACGGAAGAAAACGACTTTAGTGGTTTTAGTGCACAGGAGGAAGATGACCATTGCGATCAGTGACTTTTCCCAGTAAGATACTGTATTATTATTTTTTAGATTATCTGTGTTAAAGGCATTGTTCAGAGCAAAACATTTACTGTGTATATTTGTGTATGTTACAATGCATATTTAATTAAAAGTTGTTTTCTGTGTAAAAATCTCATTACAATGTGAACACCCGCGGCTTACACACAAGCTCGGCTTATATACGTACAATTTTTTTGTGTGTGACTTATATTCGGGTGCGCTCTATAGTGTGGAAATTACGGTAATATTAATCCATTTGGATATAAATAATCTCATTAACAAAGTAGTATGCAGAAGGTAAAATTAATATACAGCAATGTTGTTAAACATTGTTGTATTTAGTAACAAGTGAGTCCTTAAAACATTATTTCTGTCAATATTTATGGAGGGACATCTATTCAGAAATTTCAAGAACAATGAAATAAATGTAAATTGTTTCGTCATAAGAAAACGTATTTGAGTTGAAAAAGTTTGACAAAGTATGTGGTTTACAAATCTAGTTCAATGATGCAAAATCTTGATAATGGATTTAAAAAAAGAAATAAATTATATATTTTTTGGTCACGTGTATTCCTTCGTAGCTGCGTAACAATCCTGAGGTAACAAGTCAGGTAAAAAGTTAAAATGTTCTAATTTTCTAGAGCCGTGAACAAAGAGATACGTCTGGTAATCTTTTTTTCTTAGCGGCTGAATTTTTCTAAATTGTTGCTCAGCTTCTTCTGCCACATTTCTGAAGCGATAATCCTGCTGTAGATAGAGCCGGGCGGTGGCACGGAACAAATCAATGTCAGGCTAATATTTTAACACTTTCAATTCTTCATCCTCTCATTATTTCCACTTTAAAAAAAAAAAAAAAAACTATATGTTGATGTTTATAGCACAACACAAAGAAAAACAACTCTGTTTTATGCAGAGGATGAAGGTAGGAAGAGTATATGTTTTTTAATCCTCGAGGAATAAACACACATAAGCCTCCGTGTGCGCAGCATACGAATGAGGTCTGCTTTCTACTTCAGTATGCTGCCAGGATCCAAGGGTTTGTATGCTTTTACTTGACCCTACAATCTGCAAGTCTGGCTAATAATTCATCTAGTTTGCTAGAGGGGTATTTGACTGATCGGAATCAATAATAGTTTTTAGCAAAAATGAGACTCTTGATTTAGTTTTTGCTCAACTTTTCTTTTTTTCTTGAGGAAACCGACTCGTTGACACGTAATATGAATTTTGGAGCATCAAAGAGAAACGATCATCCAAACTTTCATTCGTTTTGTTTTCGGAGTTATTCCTGGCGTCATCTCATCACCGCCCACAACTCCTTTTGATGTTTTTTTTAGCTGTAACTGGTTCCTCAACAAGCCTGCGTTTGTGCGTTGCTTCGAGGGACAATAGTGTCCATCAACAGCGCACTCAACAGTCCTTTAGTATGCACGCTGAGATTTCAGAGTACACTTCATTTAGCCACTTCTCCAGTGTGAATATACAACAAGCTCCAAAACATGCTAGGATTAGTACGCAGAGTTGGATGATGATATGGGCCGGGAGAAAACAACAGCAGCAGCCATGGATCTGTAACTGTAGTGCGCGCCAAAGCTTAGGACTCGGAGACATCCAACAAGTGTCAAGATATTTACCAGCATGGAGTTGGAGCGACCGTTGAAGGGCTGGGCCTCGCTGAAGAACTCCGTGTTGTGGTCAAGTCGTCCGTGGCCTCCATACAGAGCTTCATCTGTATCCAGCTTGATTTTATATCTGACAAAGACCGAGGTTAAGGTGCAACAGCAGAGGAGGACTGGCTTAAGAGATTGGAAACAAAAAGATGAAGGTTTATCAGCAAGGCAGACGGCTTAAATGCGCACAGGTGGTGAACGTTTCTTGAAATCCTCTCGGCATTCATCACTTTTACAAAGGTTTAAAATGTGACGGTTCAGAACGCAGACCATTTTAAAGGATAGTCTGGTCATTTCTGATGTCATCTCCTGCCAAACAGTTTTCAGTATTAGTACTTTAAGAGTCGTAACATCAACCACTGATCATGGAGTATAGAAAAAAATTGAGCAAAAGTCTTTGTCCATCATCAAAATTCTGCCTATAATAGTACTGACCGAAAAAAACAAGCAGTCCCCCCGTCACAAAGCAATATGAATTATGAATGCTTGTAATTTTTGAGATGAGTGGGTTTCTGGATTGGAATTGAACAGAATGCACCTAAACCTTAAATTTTTTGGTGCAAGATATCCAAGAGGGTAAAGTTACTCTGTATATAAAAACAAAGGTGTTCTTTTTTTTCAGAGGCAGAGCAGAGTGATGGATTCTGGCCAGTGGAGGGAGCACTTTTATTTATGACCAGGTGCAATGGCAGAGCTAGAGGGTGGCCAATGGTGGCCTTGATCACCAGGGATTATTTTTTGGCCACCCCAATCTTTTGAAAAAAATATACTTTTAACCAATATAAAAACTTAAAAGGATAGTTTAAAACGATTGTGATGGCCGGTTTACATATTTATACAGTGCATGGTGGTGGCCATCTTGGATTTTGACATGGCAACCTGATTTTCAATTTCATGGCAACTAGTTGCAGCAACACACCAAACTGGAAGTTGTTTTTCCAAGTTATCAAGCTCACAAAATGGATGGACATATATGGTGGCAGCCATCTTGGTTTTTGACGTGGTAACCCAATTTTCGATAGTGACCTTTGTTACACCTAGATGCAACCACACACCAAAAAGGAAGTTGGTACATCACTTATTTCTCAAGTTATCCAGCTCACATCACAGATGGACAGTATTTCCAGTTCCCCCTTTTGCTCCACGAGGAAGAGCAAAAACATTCAGCAACCATGCTGGTTGCAGAAATAAAGCACCGACACAAATAATCTGAAAAGATGCATAAATTTGAGTCAATCATCAGTTGTGACAACTTCTTTTAAAAACAGATTTGAAAAGGAATTCAAAAATAACGTGGAAGCTCATTAGTTGGGAAACGACTCAACTGTTCACTGAATCGGACACTTAACAGATGCGTTAGGTCACTTTTCTTAATAAGTACTCAAACAAAATGCATGTGTATATATTTTGTCTCATTTGTTTACTACAGTTGTTTTCACTCTTTGCACACGTGAAACTCTCATGTTACTATGGTTGTGTTTATGCAGGAATGTGAAGCATTTTCCACGCTTCAAAGCAACACAGCACCTGCTGCAGGCATCCACCTGCCGAGGTCGGGTATCATCCAGTCAGGTGCTGTATCATTTCTGTCCATCTAAACATCACACTTTCTCCTGTTTATCCTGTACAAACACTATTATTTTACTGTATATGCAAAGTTCATGTGTAATTCTCATCAATATTAGATATTTAATCGCTCTGATTCAAGGTTAAAACACAATAATTAATGTCAAATAGAGGGCTGCAGTCTGTGTGCAGCAATAAGGCAGTTGATAGTCAGGAGAAGATGTAAATGCCTTTGATTATGTGCAGAAAAGGTGTATGCACTTTATGCATGGATGGGGGAGTAATGTTATCCTCCTTGCTGTCACATTTTCTTGAATTTTTTTCTGCACTCTCTCTCTCTTTCTTTGCATCTGAACAAGAATGCAGATACCGAAGAGCAGACTGATGGCAGCTCTCATAATGCGGCTCCTATGAATTGTGTGCATTCTGACAAAGGGATCATGATAGAGAGACACAGCATGAAATATGTAAATCAGGCCATATGCTGTAGTGAAGGCTTCAGGATATAACCACCTTTTTCATGAAAGCCCCCGATAAAATAGACGAAATTAACAATTCTGTCCTTCAGCTCGGTGAAATGTAGAAAGTTGTCAAATGCGATATTGAATTGCCAAGAAAGGAACCAAAAAGGTTTTCTGCAAATGCTGTTTTTGGAGAGGAGTTTAAAAAAAACCTCAGTGCTCATCAGAACGGTGGTTTCCATCTTTTGTCTCGACTAAAAACCAAAACGATGAGTGTCAGAATCAGTATCAGGTTAATGTCACAAAGGACACTTGAAAAGTTGGAATTAAGCGTGGACTTCGACAAGGATGCAGATAACAGCAAAGTGTTAGCGTTTCTAAATGCAGTCAGAAATGGGTTTTTAATAACATTGTACAGTGTATTATAAAAGCAAACATCTGTACACAATATTTAATCCTGTCTACGGGAGGAGAGGCAGGACAAAAAGGTGAACGACATTCAAATTATACTCTAATTGCTTGTGTGAACAATCATCTCATCCTGTGACAGACATTGTTCTGGTTTTTCAGTCTGATCCTCCAACACCTTCTTATTCTGTTCCAGAGCTGGAAAAAAAAATAAAAAATACAATCTGCTTTTGCTCCGTGCACGTCCGCTTTGATTGTAATGATTAGAAAGAAAGAAAAATAAAGCTCCCTTCCTCTTCAGATGAGATTTCTATTACTACTCGTTATTGACAGAAAATCATTTTACTGTAGATGCTTTACAAAAATAAATTAAAAAATAAACTCAGTGGCTGTACAATAGTTTTAAAGTTCAATTCAGTTTAGTTTTGTTATATAGCACCAACACACAACAAAGGACTTCTCAGGTAATGGCACAAAAACATTCACAGAAATTATTAGAAATTAGTAAAAAATTAAGGAAGCCAGCAGATCGAGTTAAATCTTCTTCACAATCTCCATTTGTGAGCAGAATATTGGTGACGGTAGAAATGACGAGCTCCCTTTTAACAGAAAAAAAAAAGAAAATAATTTCAATAAGTTAATTTTCTTTTTTGTACCATTCTAAATTATTACCACTTTATAAATGTCTAATTATTTAGGAAGCAGTTTTCAGTACCTCTTTTGTGGAACCAACTTTCAGTTTCTGTCTGTGAGGCCGACACCGTCTACTTTTCGTACAAGGCTTAAAACTTTATCCTATAGTTAGGGTAGGCTTGGGTTTCCTGAGCTATCCCTTAGTCATGCTGCTATAGGCTTGGACTGCTGGAGGTCAAACTGACCACATTTTTTACTCGTCTCCTGTTTTGACTCTCTCTCAACTTGTTAATATTTGAAATTATTGCTGCAAATCACCTGTTTTTCTTTGTTTTTTACATGAAACCTAGAACAAACTTTTTTGTGTTTGCATTTCTTTCCTGTCCTCTCAAACCCCACTCAACCATGGCAGATGGCCGGTCATCTTGAGCCAGGTTCTGTTGGAGGTTTCTTCCTTCTTAAAAGGGAGTTACTCCTTTCCACCGTCGCCAACATGCTCGGGATGAGGGATTGCCCAAACTGAAGATGTGATCAAATCTGATGGGCATCCTATACTCACAACTTTTTACTTATTGGCATTTCATAATGCACTGTATAAAAATGCATTGTGCTGGATTAAACCAATTTCAATCTTGATTTGAATCCGACTTGAACGGTTATTTGTGTTTTACTGTGCTCAGAGACAAACTTAGCTGTGAATTGGCTCTGTATAAATAAACTAACATTTCAAGCAGATTACTGCCCTGACCATCGCACTGTCTCTCTGCCATCATGGCTTTATCCCATTGGTGAATGTTTCTGCCAAACCTACAACAGAAAGAACTATGCACACAAACCCAGATGTCCACGAGATGTGAAAGAAAACATTTACCGAGCTTCTGCAGAGAACAGGGGTCTAGAAGGGTCTACGCATCCTTAAACGCAGGTCTCACACATTCCTCATCGTCTTTTCTACTTTAAGCAAACGTTTTTTTTTTAATAACTCTGCATCATGGAATCACATCTGTAGCTTTGTGCTTCTTTGACCCCATCATCATATCACTGGTTGCTGGAACTAACCACAGCATAACGGAATATCTGCCTGATGCGGAGAAGTTCTGATCCTCTCGTCTAGCTGTCGCAATTTGGCCCCCGTCAGAGTCACTCAGATTCTTTCACGGGCACATTTTTCCTGCTTTCAACACATCAAATTCAAGAACTGACTGTTCACTCACTGAAAAATATATCCCACCCCCTGACAGGTGCCACTATAATGAAATAATCAATGTTATTCACTCTACCTGTCAGTGGTTTTAATATTGGGGCTGTTCTGCTCTGTGTGTGTGTGTGTGTGTGTCTAACTCAAAGTACTGTAAATGAGGCGTAGTTACAGTAATTTAGAGTTCCTTGGCAAACTTCTCTGTGAGGAAGTGAGGACCAGCATAAATTGGTAGTTGGACGCTTTTGAGCGATTACGTCTTTGTTAGTGGCTACAGACGGCTGCGGCGACAGCTTGCACTTCAGCTGTGAAACACTGTGATCAATACAGCCGTTGTGAATAAAGAGGAAGATTAAAGAACACAATCAGTTTTACCCAATGACCAGAAAGAAAAGAAGGCGGTTTTTGAAGCTCGATGATTAGAGTCGATGACCTGAAAACAATCTTGCCATGACCACAATTGTGGACCTATAGCCACCACTTAGTTTCTCCATTAGCTTTTTTTTTTCCCAGGCTCTATGAAAGTAATATAGCATTCTGCCGTGGGCAAACAAGAGTTAAGTGAGTTGTGTGTGCACATCTGAAGAACGTGGCATGGCCTTGTGAGCATTCTAAATCCGTGTCTAGCCTTTTCAGAGTCAACATCGCCCTGCTTTCTGATCAGCCAGTGTTATGTTACATCAGGGAGAAAAGAGAAGGACGAGGCAGTTTCTGACAAGCAAATAACAAGACAGTTCAAACCAGCTACCAGTGCACACAAGGCTTTATTAAGATGGAAATAAATGAACAAAATAAAGGCCTAGAATTCATTAAAGG